GTGTTAAGTGATCACGTGTCTATTGTATTGAAAAAAACAGATGACTATTTCTAGGGCTGACAGTGTAGGTCAATGGTAGAGCACTTGCCTGGGGTTTGTGTTTTGCCCATCATTACAGAAGGTTTGGTGCAGAGCAAGGAAGCACCAGTGCTATTTTTCTTATGGATTTTTCTGAAAGTCTATAAAGGCGTTTTGGAGAGCAAATACGAGGGAGAAATTGAGGCGACAGCAGAGAGGTGAACCAGAGTCAACGCACTAGGAGCACAGGGAAGGAATCACTACAAGCTTGAGGCCAGCCTGGTCTACTTAGCCAGACCCTGCCTCAAAACGAAAGCCAGTCAAAGGTCCTGAAGAAGATCGGCGGTGAAACCGACATGTCACCAGGGAGAAAGTTCAGGAAGAAATAGAAAAGCACTAAAATTCTTCTAGTCCAAGGCCAGCCTAAATATAGGGAATTCAGCTACACAGAAAGTTCAAGGCCAGCCTGGGCTACATGTCAAAACCCCGCTTCAAAACAGCAAAAGCAGGCCGGTGACGTAGTCCAGCTGGCAGAGCACTTGCCTGGCATGTATGTCTAAGTCCTGGGCTCCGTCCCCGGTACTGGATGGAAATGGTCTTGGTGGGACACTCTATAATCCCAGTACTCAGAAGATGGAGGGTGAGGATCAGAAACTCTAGGTCATCCTTGCTACATACGGACTTGAGGGTCAGCCTGGGATACAAGAGACTGTCTCAAAACAAAAAAATCAAAACAGCTGGGGGTGTACTTGAGTGGTACACCCCCTGAAGCATGTGGTCTCATGTAGCAAATCAGAGACAAAAAAACCATAACTCTTATACTTCAACCAACTTTAATTGACCTCTTTAGTAGCTGTTAGGGACTGTGGTATATAGTGGAAAGACAGAACTGAAAGAGAAAGACAAGATCTCTGCCTGAAGGACTATCGACAAGAGCTTGTGACATCCAAGTCCAGCCTAGGGGCTGGGGAGGTGGCTCAGAGGTGAAGGGCAGTGGCTGCTCTCTAGAGGGTCTCGGTTCAAATCCCAACACCCACAGGATGGCTTGTAACCACCTGTAACTCCAGTCCCAAGGGACCTAGAACCTTCTTCCAGATTCTGAGGGACTACAGGCAAGTAAATGGTGCACAGACAAACAGGCAAAACACCCACACACATAAAATAAAAATAAATACAAGAAATTTTAAAATACAGCCTAAAAGGGATGTAATCTGCTAATTCACTGACCCAGCAGTCAGCCTCAGAGTGCTGGGATTACAAGTGTGTGCCATCATGTCTGGTTTAAGATTTAAACTTGAGCAGAACATGGTGGCACGCACCTTTAATCCCAGCATTTGGAAGTCAGAAGTAGGCAGATAGCTCTGAGTTTGAGGCTAGCCTAACAAGTTCCAGGACAGCCAGGGCTCTGTAGAGAGACCCTGTCTCAAAAAAAAAAAAAAAAAAAAAAAAAAAAAAAAAAAAAGTTAAGCTTGATAGAGAGGCACACTGGAAATTTAAATTTCTTCAGCTAAAATTGATTTATATTGTCGGGCAGTGGTGGCACACGTCTTTAATCCCAGCAATGGGGAGGCAGAGGCAGGTGGATCTCTGTGAGTTCGAGGCCAGCCTGGGCTACAAAGTGAGTTCCAGGACAGGTCCCAAAGCTACACAGAGAAACCCTGTCTCAAAAAAGAAACAAACAAAAATACTGACTTATATCTGAGTAGAATTTTGATGGCAGATAAGACCAAAATTAAACTAATTTTTAAATTTAAAGATCACTTCCAGTCTCTCTTCCAACCAGACTAATTACACAGGATGTGACTGTGTTTTGAAGGTGACTTCTTTTTTATAATTTTGAGACAGGATCCGGCCAGAGCTGGCATGGAATTCGCTATGTGGCCCAAGCCGACTTGGAATCTGAGGCATATTGCGATTACAGAGATGCGTTACCACATTCTGCCTTGTAAAAGCTACTTTTCTTGTTGTTTGCTTGTCTGTTGAAACAGTCTTTACCTCCAACTCAGGGTGTAGCCAAGGTAAGCCTTTAACTACTGATCCTCCTCCCTCCACTTCTTTTATTTATTAATTAATTTATTATTATTATTTAAAATTTTTTTTCCAGGAGCTGAGGACTGAACCCAGGGTCTTGTGCTTGCTAGGCAAGCGCTCTACCACTGAGCTAAATCCCCAACCCATGCCTCCACTTCTTAAGTGTGGGCATTACAGCCACGTGCCACCATGGCCACTGTGAGAGAGATATATGTATATGTAAAGTTATATTTAACACTGCTGCAGGTAAAGGACTCAGACATTCTATGAGCGGGAGTCCTGGACGGAATAAAAAGGAGATATCGAGGGGCCTGGAGAGATGGCTCAGTGGTTAAGAGCACTTTCAGCTCTAGCAGAGGACCCAAGTTCAATTCTCAGCACCCAGGTCCAGAAACTCTCAACTGCCAGTAACTCAGCTTCAGGAAACCCAAGTCCTCTTCAGACCTCCAAGGGCACCTGAACATGCATTTTGCACACACACAATCTCAGCACTGGGGAGGCAGTAGCAGGAAGCTCTCTGTTTGTCTGAGGCCAGCCTGGTCTACATAGCAAGTTCCAGGACAGTCAGAGCGGCAAAGTGAGACTCTGTCTCTAAATAAATAAATACATTAATTAATTACTTTCAATTAATTAAAAGAAAAAAAGGTTGGGGGTGGAGAGGCTCTGGAGAGATGGCTCAGCTGTTCAGAACACTGAGTGCCCTTCTTGAGTACCTGGATTTGCTTCCTAGCCTGCACATGGAGGCTCACACACACCTTCTTCTGGCCTCCTTGGGGAATCCAGGAACACAAGTAGCGCACAGACACACCTGCAGGCAAAACACCCACACATAAAATAAAAATAAAAACAAAAGGAGAAAATGCTGGGCGGTGGTAGGTAGCGCATGACTTTAATCCTGGCACTCAGGAGGAAGAGGCAGGTGGATCTCTCGAGCTGGAGACCAGCCTGGTCTACAGAGTGAGTTCCAGGATAGCCAGGGCTACACAGAGAAACCCTGTCTCAAAAAAACGGGGAAAAAAAAAAAAGAGAGAGAGAGAGAGAGAGAGAGACCCAAACAAACAAAAAAGTATGCATTGCTCCTTCCTTCCTTCAGATTTAATGAAGGCCGCTGCCTCTCACTCCTGCTACCACGCTGTCTTCTTCCTTGCCAGGACAGACTGTATTACCAGGGAAACCGTAAACCTAAACAAACCTCCTTCCTAAAAAAAAGACCGGAAATCACTTGCCCACCGAGCCTGCCCATCTGAGTTTGATCCCCAGGACCCACGTGGTGGAAGGAGAGAAACCGTTCCCACAGTTGTGTTCTGACTTCTGCTCGAGTGTGCGAGTGTGCACGCGCGTGCACACACATACAAAGCAAACGTAATATGTTTTATATAAAAAGCTTGGCTAATTTCTCTCCACTCTCCTGACTTGAGTTTAAAAAAAAATTAATACAAAGGAAAAATGGGGAATAAAAAAAATGAGGTCACTGGGAATGAAATAAGGATGTTATTACACAGGCTGAGGGAGAGGGCCCAACCTCTGTCTTCCACCGCCTCAGTGATAGCACTCACCTGAGCTCAACACACACACACACACACACACACACACACACACACACACACCAGAAAGCAGGAGACTTCACTAAGAATGAGTTGGAAGCCATTAGAAGGGAACACCTTCCACACTTATTAGCAAGACCAACTTCCAGGAACTCAGCCAGACGTCATGGCTGCCAGGGGCTCTGGCCTTTCTTGTTCTCACCTGGCCTTACTTTTTCCCACTTTCAGAAAATGTGTAAGCACAGGTTTTTGTTTTTTTTTATTCCCCATTCAACTCGTGGGGAATTTCTCAATTGGACTGTAGAGTAACAGAATTCTAGGAATAGGCAGGCCTCCACAAAAACCTCAGAAGGAGCAAAAGTTGGCACTGAACACCGACCCGAGGCACGGGCACAGGCCTTAAAGGACCTTCCCGGTGGGCTCTCAACATTCCATTCCCTCCAAGTTCACCCTAAATCTCCTGGATGGTTGCTCAGAAAGCCAAACTTCAGGAGACTGATCCGTGGTCTAACCAGGTAGGGAAGGATAATGGGTGCCTCCCCCACGGAGGAGGGGGTTTAGATGCGGTCCTAACCCCTGCAGCATCCCCCCGTCCCTGCAGACCCTAGTGTCCGAGCTCCTTCAGATTTCCATGCATTCCCCTGGGCCTTGGGGCAGGATTCCCATTCTCTGCCTCGCCATCTCCCTGGAATTTTCCACTGCAGCTGCCTCGGCTCCCAGACACCCCTCCCTGGGCAAAATTCCCGGCTGCCTCCGCCTCCCCTTCCCTAATCACACCTCATTCCCACCCCCAGCCTTGAGGCCCAGCCCACGGTCCAGCCCACTCCCCACGGTCCAGCCCACACCTCGCAGTAACCCTGGTGGCCCCATTTAGAGAAGTGGGAAACGAGGCCCTTTATGAGAGGGTGAACTGGAGGGTCCCAAGCTCTTTCCTAGGCGGCTGAGAAAGGACAGTGGAGGGGTTCGTCCCCTGTAGGGCTGGAGTCGGGGGAGTGGCCCTCCTCACATCCCCTTATAAGGCAGGGCAAGCAGTTAGGACCCTGGATTGGCTGATTCAAATGAGCATTCCACCTGGCAACAGGGTTTCTATTGGCTCTCAGGAAAAATAGGAGAAGGTGGATGGAGGTTGTTGGTGGCGGTGATTGGAGGGGGGGAGGGGAGTGGAGGTGACCGGAGTTGAGGGCGGTTACCAGGGCAACAGGGTAAGAGCCCAGCAGGGTGTCCGAGACAGCAGGCGGGGCTGGGAGGTGGAGTAAGATGGCAGGAAAAAAAAAAAAAAAAAAAAGAAGAAGAAGGCGGGAGGGCGAGGAAAGAGACCAACCCGGAGGGAGCGAGACTGGGGGGGAACCGGGGGGCGGGGGGGGGGATAAATGAAGCCAGAGAGGATACAGAGATGGAATATAGTAAGAGGTTGTTAAAGACATCAGTCACTTAAGTCTGAGAAGCGCGTCCAAAAGGGAAATGGAAAGATCTCAGAGAAAAGGTGGACCGAATCCTGCCAGGAAAAACCAGGGTGGGGCTCCCACGATTTATGAGACCAAGACGGAGAAACTGAATAGTCAAAGACACCAAGAGGTGTGTGCAAGGGACCAAGAGATGGTGTGTGTGTTGACGCACGCACATGCTAAATGATGATGGCGAACAACAATGGCTTATTTTCTATTTTTTTTTTTTGAGGGGGGACAACATGATGTCTCACTGTGTTGCCCAGGATGCTTTCAAACTAATGGCAATCCTCCTGTTTCAACCTCCCAAGTGCTGGAATAGGTCATCTGGCTAAAAATGTCTTTATTAAGAAAAATGACTTGGAAAAGGTGAAGAGTAATGATGACAAATTCGAACATGTACACACACACACAAACCCAAAGACAATTTTTCTCTAAGCCTAGATCTCTACTACACCCACTTTCCTGACCTCAAATCCACATCCCAGCCCCGGTCCCCTTCTGAAATCCCAGGGTTCTCAAAATGATCCACAGAGCCGAAGATGTGAGCCATAGGGTGTGGCTGGAACTCCAGGTGTTTGCAAAGAAGGCCATGGGAATAGAGAAGGCCCGGGAAGATTAGCAGAGGAGAGGGAAAACCCAAGGGCAGAAAGGAGAGTTGGAAATTAGCGAAGTGTAGATACGGCCAGGTGAGTCAGGGAAGAAAGACAACGGTGGTGTCTGGGAAAAGTGGAGAGACGCACGCGGCCGAAGGAATGAGGTGTAGACGGTTGTAAGGGAGGGGTCTTGGTCTGTAAGAATGAAGAGAGTTGAAGAGAAACAGGAGGACCAGGCAAGTAAAAGTGAGGTGAGACAGGTAAGAAGATGGAATAAAGAGGCAGAAGAGGCGATCAGAAGCCTCTGACTCCGCTCCGATCAAGGGAACAGACCCCGCCAAGGACCACAAAGGTCCAGCCGATGAAAGCCCAGGACTGTCCTTTGCACTGTCCCTTTCCTCCTCAATGCCACCCCGAGAAAGCGGACAAGAGGGAGAGATGGTAGTGGCTCGGCAGCCTTCCTTCCCCTTCTTTAAGCTTTTGCTTTCTCAAATACCTGCCCAGCCTCTCCATCTGCCCGCCCCGCCTCCCCCCAGCCCTTTAGCAAAATTTCAGGGCTTTGAGGAGGTCAGCGGGAGTCTGGCCACCTCTCCCCAGTCCGCCCCCAGGAGCCAGACTCCAGCTCGCAAGCAGTAGGCTGGCATTTGGAGCGGTGTCTCCCCGCTGGAACCCCACCCCTTCCCACCTCCTCGCCCCACTCGGCTTTCTCCCGAGCCGTCAGTCTCTCCATTTCCCCCTCCTGGTCTCGTCCTTCCTCCCGCCCCGCTCGCTCTCCCGCCCTTCGCTTTCATCCTCCTATCCCCACCTCTCCAACCTCCTCTTTCATCCCCCTCCCCTCTCCTCTCCTCCCCGCTCCC